AGCAGCAATACGTTACACATGAACTTTGAAAGTAAATTATTAAATCCAAACACAAGCAAAACAGGGAGTTGTACAGAAAATGAGGATAAAAACAAACACCTTCTCTTTACGCCAATTTTATTGAATGTAGCAACCAGTACCTGGTAAGCGCATCAAGCACAACTACAGCAATCCCTCTGTTGTCACTCCTCCCAGTTTTGGGCTGATTGTCGCCCTTGGTTGTGATATCATCATAAAATGCCCTTGCAGCAAGCTTCACCAACCTGCTTTGCGAAAACACACCAAAATGAAATCAAATGCTTGATCTCGCCTTCAACTTTGCTTGAGATTGAAGATACTTATAAGGTGCAGATCGTGTCCTCTACCTGTTAAAAGGCTCAAGGCTTATGCTTCTATGCGGAGTATCGTTGAATGACATTTAGGGATCTGTTCGACTTCTCTTTATTATTAGGTTACGGTTCCCAGCTTTTTTAATACGTCCAAAGCCTACGAGCAACTTCTAGTCTAGCAGTCTATTAGCTGTAACTAAAACCAGAGAAGCTTTTTATCCTCTTTTGTTTTCTAATTGCCCTCAATCTTTCCCCAAAAGAAGAACCGATAATAATAATCAGCTCTTTGCAAAATCACCGAAAGTTTTCATCAAAACCCTCTATTTTCCCCCTAAATCACACATCATTCTCCTTTTTTCTCCCCTCCCAATCACTTTCCTTATAATCTCTTGGTTTGCTCCCTAAAAACCCTTTGATTTCACTTTTCTTTCACTCTCTTCCTTTCTCTCAGACGCTCCCCCCAATATTCCCCGTTAGTCTCGTGTCCAACCCCTTTTCTCCTCAACCTCCTCCCAGAGACCAAAGCTTTATCCTCTATATTTCTTAGTTATAGCTCCATCCATTGACTTACGCAGAACAGTCGCTGAATCCTCTATCCATAGTTGTGCTTCACTCCTCTAATTAATTGGAGCTTAGAAAACAAACAGAAGAAGTTTTATGATGTGGTAAATGAATGTTTTTTTCAGAATGGGCTATAATTTAAAAAGGGTTGGGTATAGCCTAACTAAACAATAAGAATAATAAAATTAATTATAAATTTATTCAAATTTAAATTAAAATTAGTTCAAACAAAATTAAAATATCATAAAAATAATTTTTGAGGCTCATTCTTATGAGGAATTTATGACGAAATTTAATTTAAGCAAAATATAAATTACTTGATGATAATTAGATGTCAAATATGTATTAAGCAGCTCACAATTCGAGTTTATTAAGTGATATTAAGGGTAATTTGGCAT